CAACATGACTATCCGCGTTGCATGCAGAATTATGCGGCTACAACTAAACCTCTGCCTAGTCATCTCCTGACGAACACGGGCATGTTTGTGGCACACCCATCAGCAGACTTATACCGACGGATCAAAAAGCTTCTGGATACCTCACCGTTAATACCAGGTTGGAAGCTGGTTGATCAAGATCTGATTGGAGTTTTCTTTGGTGGAGGTGGTGTCGAGGATCCTGCCGACTGGGGAGCGTTGAGCAAAGAAGAGTTAGGTGACCGGTGGGTTCCGCTTCCATATTACTATAATGCCCTCAAAACCTTGAGGTAGGTTCGACTCGTCCCCAAGATAGGCATTGGCTAATTCTAGGAACAGGAAAACCCATACAGAGTTATGGAAAGACGAAGAAGTACGAACCGTCCATTATATTAGGGATGACAAACCTTGGAAGGAGAGACCACCCAAGAGTCGTGAAGTCGAATATAACGAAACCCATAGGTGGTGGTGGGAAGAATATGACAGATTGGTCGACACGATGACCAAGAAGGGAATGGGAGAAGACCTCAAGTTGATTGAAAGTCATGTCGCCGCCGGAGAGTCTTGAAGCAATAGATTTCAAGGTATCGAGATCTCCTGATACTTTGATAAGTCTTACTTAGATTTTCTTCCTTTATATACTTTCTATTTGTATCCCTTGATACATTCAGAAACCTCATTTAATATAATAGATGTCGCACAAGCCATGCATGGTCTACGCTGCTAACGAACTTCTCTTCGTTAATAGGCAAGTTTGAGGTACTCAAGGGAATTGATGACATTCCAGCTCAGTGAATGACTCTTCCCGTGAGCAATTGATAATCTATGAATGGTGCGGTCCAGCCAATACAATACAGTCTATTTGTACACTCGTCGAAACCTGCCCGGCTGGAGAATTCCACGCTCTCGAGGATAATCGACAATGTGTATGCATGTCTGACTCGATTTGCTTGTGGGCTGCTGTCGGAGCAAGAGATGTGGCAAAGGACAATGGCTAAGGACAATAGCCAGGTAACTTGGACCCAACCACCAGTGCCGTGTCATTTCAAGCCCTCAGGCGGAGGTATACGGATTATTCTGCTTCATTCTAGGGGTAGGGCAACCATCCAGGGTCGATATTGCAAAGACAGAACAGGTGTAAGTCTTGGGGACAAAGATACGGGGAGCGACACCTGACATATTGGCTGGTATCGGCAATTCTAGGCTTACTTTATACCAAGTCGACACTACTGTACCAGTTCTCAAGAAGCAAATAAAAAGCTGGGAAAAACTGACGTCAAAATCTCCACTGGGTTCAGAGCCGGTGTTGTCCGAACTTACCCTTCCGGTCCTCCAAAGAAAACAATCCATATCTTTGGTGTAATTCATAGTGCTAGTGCGTTCAAGATTGGGATTACTACGTTCTGCTGCCCCAGCTAACCATTATCCAATGCACTCATCCTTGTTATAACCCAAAGAAATTCCTACATCTTTCGACATGTCCGAAAAGTCAAGGTCTGGAGACGGGACAAGTGAGTCAAGTGTTTGGTTATATCCAAAATA